AAGGTGGTGCCATATTGATTTACATAGCATGTTCATTGGTCGAGACGGTCTTATGCTATGCATATGCAGTTATGTCATTTTGTGTGTGATGGCCTTATATCTGTACGTGCGTATGCACATGTGATACCCGGCGTGGTAATACAAATTGATAATATTGTAAAAATTCTTGAAAAATGCCGAGCAGTTGTTGAGCAGTTGTTGAGCAGTTGTTGAGCGGCCATTTTGTTGTAGGGTGTCATGGCCGAAACCGGAAATCCTGCCAGCCTCAGTTTTTCCATATGTCAAGCCTAAAGTTAGCGATCTAGTACTAGTATAGACATCTGTGTCGCCGTACGACAACTGAAAGTTCTTTGACTAGTTTCTATCGACGACGAACGGCACGAAACAGCTGGACAAAATCCGTCTAGTTTCTCGAAAATATATTGTAACGGTCGGAGCACCGCGTACGCTAATTCAAAATGTCTGTTAAGCGTAGTTGTTCAAACCATGTGCTCCGATTGGCTACCGACTGTAATATTAATGCAATTGAGGAGTATGAATAAATCACCTATCTAACAGAATGATAAATGAGTTTTATTTTAAAGTACCGATTACACTTAATACTGCGGGATCGCTCGCTAGATTTAATGCAACGACTAATCCGACGAATCTAACTTGACTGTTCTTAATGCCGGTTCCGAACAGAGTGTCTCCTCGCTTTTGGCTCCGGATAATCCAGTAGATCCTGAAGATTCCGGAACGTTCTCGAATGTTCGCTGGATCCGGTAGCGCGCGCATAGATCGATTCGTTGTATCGATCTCGAGCCATAGTGGACATCGATTCGATGTATTGATGTTCTTCTGGCTGGCGCCGCCTGTCGGTCAACCGTAGACATATCTTACACAACCGTCTTACACCGCCGTAATTATTACAAGTTTATAACTCGCGTTCAGACACCGCATTCGACACACATTTATACTAACCGTATCCACACGGCTGTACATATCTAACATCAACTCATATAATAAATCACGTTATATTTTATTACACACAAACAGCGCATTCTTTTAACGTCTGGAACCGACCGAACTCCTGATCCCCAACCGACCGAACTTCTGATCCCGGCAAACTATTCCGCGCAAACAAACGGATCGTTTCACCATTCAAGTTTGTATCACTTTCAGATTTTAGTTTCTTGTACTTTATTAATGACATATTATTAACTGTCTTAAAAATTTTTAGATGTATCCAATGAGATCTGTAAAAAGACCCTATACTCGTTATTCTCGATGGATTTATAATATACAATTTCATAGCACCCATCTGTATGCTGTTACATTGGATAGTTTATATGAATTGAACTTTAAGGGAAAAGACCACCTTGACCACGAAAAACCATGAAAAAAAGAGTTTATCACAAAAAGATAAAAAAATTTTTGGCCAATTTTTTTAAATGTATTTTAAAAAAATATATTTAATGTTAATTAAAATGTTAATTAAAAATTTGTCTTTTATTATATTTTTAATAATTACATAAATTATATACTTGATGTCATAAAATAAAAAATAAATAATAAATATTTGTATGAAATATAAGTGCTTCAAAATTTTTATTTCTCAAAATATAGCATTAATGTATGCAATGTTACGCAGAAACTATTTGTCCGAAACAAAAAAGATTTTTAATTTTTTGCATTGACAGTTAATTTATAGACGATCAATGTCTGTAATTCAGCAACGTATAACGTTTATTTCGAAACATTTTATAAAATTTTTATAAAATTAATTTTAAATAAAAACAACAAACTTGTTTGTTTAAAAACAGTTTTATATAAACTACGTATTACGCGCCTTATTCCTATATTTGAAACAAATAACATATCGACGTGCTATGCTCGTTATTTCTGTGTAAGAAATTAATAAAGAACATTCCCAGCAGTGATGCGATATCTACTACCGGGCTCTGTTACGAGCGTATAGCTACGTAATAGATTATTTAGAATAAGTCGGGACACGTTTGTGGAAAAAGTCTTTATTCGGTGTTGCTGGTTTGAGCTTTGATCGAGAACTGAACTGGCGAGAATGATCTTTGTTTAAGGTGCTGTAGGAAAATCGTAGCGGCGGAATGTTTATTGGAAGGAAGCGGTTTTGTCAAAAGGAAAATATGCGTTAGGCATAGGGACAGCGTTTATGTTTATTGCAGTCATCGAAGGGTCATGTGTTTAGGATCAAGAAGGAGTAAAGA